GTTATATTGGTTAAACTGACAATTTTGATTATAAATTTGGATCACTTTTACTAAATTAATACATCCATGATTTTTTTTTGTCCATATATATACTTGATTCGAGTTGATTCGAATCATGATTCGAATCAGGTTTTTTTCTGATTCGAATCATTCGAATCGGGAATTTTTCGAGTCGGCACATCACTAATATATATATATATATATATATATATATATATATATATATATATGTATTATTGTATTAATACGATTTATAATATATATTTTAGCAGCTTATGTTTAACGAAACATTGCATTTTATAGTGAAATGAATTTACCTGTTTAGAACGCAAAATTACTACATTCCATATCATTGCAGGTCTATCTTTGGGTGGTGGTCTTCTGGTATTCGCCTCCGTGCTAGCAGATGAGTCTTTTGATCGCGTTCCAGTAGCATCTTCGAGTTCGAGAGCGCCTGGAGAACCGCCTTTGACCGCCGAGTACCGCTACGGCTGGGCATTTCTAGCAGCCGCTGGAGCCCTGTGCTTAGCAGAACTTGCAGCAGTTATGGCCATTACAGCATATCTGAGAAGATTTCCGTCAGTTGAAGATATGGTAATATTTTTTTATAAAACACATACATATAGAATCTCCAAATATATATTACACTGTATAAAAATTATAATTCTTAATAAGAAATTTTGGTTCAAAATTTATTACCACATATTACTTCGTTCAAGAGCAATCGAATTTATTATAAATTTTTTTTTAGGTTCGTATAACAGTGCCCGGCGGTGAGCGAAGACTGCGAGAAAGGCAACGGCTATCAGCAGAGCGATTGCTTCATCCTGCGCCGCACAAATACACTACCTTATGTGCTTCTCGAGACCTAGAAAGTGCTGCTCATACTCCTGGTGCTTCACCTCGCCTGGGTGTGCATCACGCGACAGTGGGCAATGCACCAAAATTATCGACAGGATGCGTGAAAAATCCAGCTGGAGCAGCAGCTGCAGCCAATGTGTCAGCGCAAACAGGGCTTCCCAGCACGGACATACACGTACTGAGTGTTGTGGATCAAATTGGAGTTGCGGCTGCCACGATAGGTAAAGAAAATTTGTACTAATGCTTTAAAATATAATAAAACATATCTCATCGTTTAAATCACATATCTAATATATATCGTGCTCAGGTCATAAATCACAAAGAAGTGCTCCTGATGTGTTATGTGCTAACGATAGGCGCATGGGTTACAACACTTTGCCCGCGCCAGTATATCCGCCAGCACCACCAGCCCATGCCAAGCGATTAATGCAACAGCAATCCAGATACGGAACATTGCCGCACCATCCCCAGCAACATCATCAGATACCTGAACCAGGTAAATAAGCACACAAATTAAACAGAATATTCAATGAAAATATTTCAGGAACTATTACTATTACTATTGTTCTTCAGGAACCAGCAGTTCTAACAGTTCTGCATCGACTTACTGCGCTTCGTTCGCCCCCTTAGAACAAATGCAGCAGATGCAGCAGCAGCAGCAACGCGGCAGTGCAGTATGACGACCGCAGAAATCAGTAAGACGATAGCCACGCTGTATGCAGGGTGCCTGTAATAATGTAAATGGTACGAGTATCAATGAAACGACCACACCCATAGAAGACGAATCGGAAACGCGTTTGTGATCCATACAGGAACAGCGTTTCATATCGCTGTAAATCAAGATTATTGTGAATTGCATAATAAATTATGAAAATTAATAATATATATAGACTTGAATTCAGTTCCTAATATTTTTTCTAGTGAAATTTCCTCAATTCGTTTCAAACATAAAATTGTATAAATTACAAAAAATTAAAAATGAAAAATTTGAAGTAATTGAAATACTTTACAATAGTTTTATTAATTAATCTATGAATAACGATTTACTAAATTTATCAATAATAAACTGCCATCTTGAAAAAGAAAATATGTTATCAGAATATATAAAAAATATGCTCGATTTATTCATTATAGAACTTCAATATAAAATGTTTTATTTCTAGAGCACATGAGCGGATTTAAGTGAAAATTAAATTAATTGGTTTGAAAAATTAAATTAACAATATACGCAAATAACGATATGATAATTGAAATATATTTATAGAAAGTATGAATGAAATTATTCTAATTCATACAATTATAAATCCTTTAAATAGTTGTATTTTTATAACTGTTTAAATAAAAAGTATTTAAAAAAACTGAATGTATGCATACGTACATATAAACAAGTAAAAATATTATAAAATATTATAACGATTATTTATCAAATTTTGTAAAATCAAATAAAAAAAATCTTACCAATAATAGCCAACAACGACAAAATAATTAACAATTAAATATCATAAAATCGGACTGTTTGCTCTGAAAAATGTTTTCTGTCTATATTCAAATATTTGTATTAAATTTGAATAAATTTCCAAATAAGCATAAAATGCTATTCTGTATATATTGTAAATATTATATGAAATCTAAACGTTGGGAAAACTTTAAATTGTATTATATATATAGAAAATGTTTGTATATAAATGTAAACTAGTTTATAATAATGATCGATTTAGTGAAAATATCTAATGAAAACTAGCCTAATAAGAATTTCTAGAAAGAAACGTGAATTGTAAAGCTTGAAAACAAATTTATACGCGGCATGTACGAATTATACAGTTTAAACATATCATTATGAAAAATAAATGTTTTTTTTTTAAATTTTTAAAAACTCTGTATCATATACGCGCCAATATTATTAAAACTAGGCTGGTACATGTAATAATTTGAAAACAAAAAGGATAAAAAGAAATAAAGGAGAACTAAAAAATGTCAGCTCAGAGAGTTCAATTTTATATAAATGTTCATCACTCATGTCTTAAACGAATGTAAGAAATGGTCAGATTCTTCTCTTCCAGCCACAAGGAGCCCAGTTTAATTATATGAATGTAAATTTTGAATCATTATATTAATGAATAATTATGAATTTTAATTTTATGTAAATATATAATTACATTATATATAAACCATGACATTAATATAGTACTCATATATCATTTAGTTATCTATATCAAATGGAACAATCGAATGAATGAATATTACTGGGCTGAAAACTTTGTAAAATTTATTCAATGTGTTATTACTATTATTAAATATACTATATTACATTAAAGTATCGTTTTATTCATTTGATTATATTTTCTTAATGTATGTAGTGGCATAAATGAGCATCATGGCGTTAAGGAATAATCTACAGATATATGATTTTGTAATAAATAGACTGATTATTTTAAAACATCGATATTTAAAACAGACATCGGCAACCTACGACACGCGTGCCAGGCTTGGCACGCGACGGCGTTCTGCATGGCACTCTACAAAATAATCAGGGCAATCGCAAATATATCGAGACGAAGTGATTTTTAAATAAGAAAAAATGTTGAAATACAATTACTTATCTAATGTAGCTCGCTAATGTAATTCAATCTACATTGAAGCACTTAAAGATGAATTTTCCAGATGCAAAAACTTTGAAGCTTATATGCCTAAATTTTCCTTCCTTATAAAACCAGATTTCATAGATCCATGAATAATACCGTTTGATTTTTCAATTTTCGAGTGGATGAATGTTGATGATTTTGAAATGGAAATTATGGAACTAATATCTTTAGAATTATGGAAAACAAAATTTAAGGAATTACGAAAAAATCAGGAAGATGACTCCATGGAAAATTAAATTGTTGGATGACATTGTCGGAAATATTTAATTTTCTTAATTTCAACTTTTAGTTCCACATATCAATTTTACACCCATTGTAGTATTGTTTACAAACATTGTAGTAATTTTACACCCATTGTAGTATTTTTACAAACATTGTAGTAATTTTACACCCATTGTAGTATTTTTACACCCATTGTAGTATTGTTTACAAACATTGTAGTAATCTTACACCCATTGTAGTATTTTTACAAACATTGTAGTAATTTTACACCCATTGTAATAATTTTACACCCATTGTAGTATTTTTACAAACATTGTAGTAATTTTACACCCATTGTAGTATTTTTACACCCATTGTAGTATTGTTTACAAACATTGTAGTAATCTTACACCCATTGTAGTATTTTTACACCCATTGTAGTATTGTTTACAAACATTGTAGTAATTTTACACCCATTGTAGTATTTTTACAAACATTGTAGTAATTTTACACCCATTGTAGTATTTTTACACCCATTGTAGTATTGTTTACAAACATTGTAGTAATTTTACACCCATTGTAGTATTTTTACAAACATTGTAGTATTTTTACACACATTGTAGTATTGTTTACAAAATTGTAGTAATTTTACACCCATTGTAGTATTTTTACAAACATTGTAGTAATTTTACACCCATTGTAGTATTTTTATAAACATTGTAGTATTTTTACACCCATTGGACTTATGTACATCAAATTATCAGATATTTTATAGAGATTTTAATACTGTGTACATATTTTGTGTAATTTTTTTTTTTGGGTTCAGTACCAAGATTTTTAATTTCAGTATGGAAAGTTCTAGCAATTTGAATTAAGGCACGATGCCATGCACCCCACTAGTTAATAGAAATGTTTAAAAGATAAATTTGGTTATAATTCTTCTCCCCTAGAACCCGGTTATATAATATATTTCAGAATTCAGGCGGCACCCTGAATCATATTGGTAGAGTGGCTCGGCACACCACAGTTAAAAGCTTGCCGACCCCTGATTTAAAACATAGAAACGATATGTAAATGTTTAGATAAAGTTTAACACTTGCCAAATCAAAATTTCAAAATTGTATTGATATTTCTTATTAAGCTAGATACAAATTACCAACAAAAAATATAAAGCTGCAGCTTTTTGTTAAAATATATTCAACCTTAATTCAAACAATATATACAAAAATTGAATAATCTGCTTGTTCACATAATTTGGATAAAAGTTTAAGACATTGCATATACATTTTATAAAATAAAATGATTTCAAATAAGAAAATGAATTGATATCTACAAGTTGCTTGAAGGATTATAATTAATTTATTATAGAACATTCTAAATTTTAACTAAATATTTATATTTTACACGAAGCTTTAAGATTAACATTTTGCTGATTAAATTTCTCCATGCGTTGTTCAATTTCAGGTCTGAAATGACGAATTAAACCTTGTACGGGCCAAGCTGCACCATCACCTAAAGCACAAATTGTATGACCTGAAAACAAAATTATACCATAAAACATAGCAATTTATACTGCCAAGTAAGAAAGAAAAATATTGCAATGAATTATTTGATTCTTACCTTCAATTTGTTTACTAATTTCCCATAACATGTCAATTTCATCAGGTCGTGCATTACCGTCTACAAATCTGTACATTATCTTGTTCATCCATGATATACCCTCTCTAAAATATTAAATCACAAATATTTGAAACAAACTGATTCACAAATTCTTAGAACAAATCTTAACACTTTATTTTCAAAAACTTTAAAAGAGTTTATAAAAATTACACGTCTCAGGGCCGGGTATTTCGACCCGCTAGAGAGCACATATTACTTATACATTTTGTCCGCTATACATATTAGGTTGGTCTGTCAGAATACCCGATAATACAGAGTTGTATTAATCCAAAAATTAACATGTACTTTCCACCATTAAAAAATCAAAAACGTGATAAAGTAACAACTGCTGATAATACGTAAATACCGTTCAATGTTTTAGTAACAATTTTGAAGTTCTTTTGAGCATATATAAAATGCCCACACACCCAATATATTTAAAAAATAATAAATATGATATCTTCATACCTGCAAGGAGTGCATTGTCCACAAGATTCATGCTTGTAGAACATTATCAAGCGTGCAATAGCTTTAATAATATCAGTCTGCTTATTCATCACTATTATAGCAGCTGTACCTAATGAAGTTTGGCATGCAACAAGCCCATCAAAGTCCATTATTGCTTCTTCACACACCCTGCAATAAAATATTATTTATCATCCTTTTTAATTAGGCTTAGTTTGGTTATTTATAAATCATACTTTTTAGGAATAAGAGGTGTTGAAGATCCTCCTGGAATAATAGCCAGCAAATTATCCCAACCACCTTGCACACCACCAGCATGTAATTCAATGAGCTCCTTTAAAGGAATGCTCATTTCTTCTTCTACTGTGCAAGGGTTGTTGACATGACCAGATATATTAAATAATTTAGTGCCAGAATTACGTGTTCTGCCAAAGCTTGCAAACCAATTTCCACCACGTCTACAAATTGTCTGTGTAGATAAAATATAACTATATAAATAAATAAATGTATATATTTATAAATAAAATAATATGGATTATAAATTTATAATCTATAAATTCGATCAGCGAAATAAAAACTCACTGGAGCAACTGCAACAGTTTCAACATTTGTTACAGTAGTTGGGCATCCAAAAACACCAACATCAGCTGGGAAAGGTGGCTTCAATCTTGGCTTTCCTTGTTTGCCTTCAATGGATTCAATTAAAGCAGTTTCTTCTCCGCAAATATAAGCACCAGCACCGCGATGCATAAATACATCAAAATCATATCCTGAATTACATGCATTCTTTCCAAGTAAACCAGCTTGATAAGCCTGAATAAAATAAATATAAATGAATAAGTTTATAAATATATTTTTTATAGTTATTTATTTCTCTTGACTATTTTTGTATAATAATTATTTAGAAATAATATATAGACATTACTCACTTCTGCTATGGCAACTTGCATATTTGATGCTTCATTATAAAATTCTCCTCTAATGTAAATGTAGGCAGCTCGAGCGCCCATTGCTCTTCCTGCAATTAAGCAGCCCTCCACCTAAAAATTCATATTTAAGTATTGGAAGTACAAGATAAAAACATTATTAAGACTAAAATGTAAAAAAAATACCAATTTATGAGGGTCATGTCGCATTATTTCACGATCTTTACATGTTCCTGGCTCTCCTTCATCAGCATTAACCACAAGGTATTTTGGCCTTCCATCTCCTGGTTTGTTCATGAAAGACCATTTCAAACCTGAAGGAAAACCAGCACCTCCACGACCTCTGAGTCCAGAAGTTTTAATTTCATCTAAAAGGAAATCATATTTAAATTATATTTGTTATTGTTATTGAAGTATTGATTTGAGATTATATGTAAACTATAAAAAATAAACAAATCAGACTTCATTATAATCTGCAAATTTAATAATATAGAATTTAATATTAATAATATAAATATAACTCACTTATGATCCAATCAGCTCCCTTAAGAATGATTTCTTTAGTTTTATACCAATCTCCTCTTTTCAAAGATCCTTTCAATCTCCAATCGTGACGTCCATAAAGATTTGTAAAAATTCTGTCTTCATCTTTAAGAGGACCAAATTTAGTACGTGTTTGTGGAGGTGGAGTGCCTGGTGGTGGTGGTCCACCGCTGTTATGTCTAATTGTAAAAACTGGGCTAATTATGCCTGAAAAAAACCATTGAAAAAAATGAGGTTAAAAATCGGTACTAAAAAACTAATAACGTGTAGAATATATCTTATAATAGTATAAGACTTGGGGAGAATTCAGATCATTAATTGTCAAGAAAATATAACAAATAACAATATAAATATGTAGGTTAGATAATATTATATAATATGTCATAATTGATTATAACTAAAACAAGCTTAAACATATACAGAATTAAGACGGGCAACTTATTCCATTTTATAAATATGTTAGTTTAGGCTTATATACCCAATTGTGTTTTAGCCAAATTAACACGAAATAATACTCCAGCCATTTTTGACGGCTAATGAACTGTCACACACCGTCTCACTGTCACCAGCCAACATTTTATCACAACACTATTTCTTTTCTATCTAACTTCAGTACGGTCATAGGTTACTCAGGTAAAATAATAAAAGCGCGATTTATGAATTATGGTATTGATTTTAGTTATTTATCTACCTACTTTAGTTACGATCTTATGCTTATTTATACATATTTTAGTCTTATTTATCCATGATTACGACATCAAAGTCTCTTGAACTTCAGCTAAACATATTTGAAAAATCTTTTTTGATAAACATTTCGCTTTTGGCTTTTTGCTAATTTCTATTAAGTTAAAGATTCTAATTTGGTAACTCATTTCTAAATAAACTAAAACAAAATGCTAACATTATAAAAATATGTATTATTTGTTAAATATGAAATTGATATAACATATTTTAATAATCAATCAACTCACAACAAACATCCTCCTTTTCGCATTTCATTTTACATATAAAAAAAATATTTACATGTACTTAATTTTTATAAATATACAAAAAATATATACAAACATAAATTTATGATACAAGTCCAGGAGCAAATACTTTTACAAATCTATCATGTAGTTTGTAATGATAAAGACTTTGTTTATTCCACAAATTTTCTTTGGTCTGAGCATTCATTTCAGATATTTCCATTTTTCCTGAAACATTACTGCTGAATCCAGTTTTCAACGGACTTATACAAACATGAGTATTTGATGAATGTTGAACTAAATTAGCTACGACTAAGTCATACTCTGATGAAACATGTACATTTAAAATGGCATAATTACCAGGTTTTCTGTAGATTAAACTCTTAACTTGTTTAATCAACATTAAAATTTCTGAAAGTGTAAATTCCATTTCAAACAAATGGCTTAAATCATCTATTATTAGCAATACATGTTTATCAGATTTAAGCATTTCTTCTACATTATCTTCGATTTCTTTTAATAAAACTTTTTTTAAATTCTCATAGCTAGAGTCTTTTAATACTAATTTCATTGCCTCAATTGTTTTGATTGCCCCTTTTTCTTTAAGAGCATTCAAGTTATAACCTAATTTCATTCCAACATTATGGTAATGATGAAACGTATTATGCAAGGTAACAAAGCAAACATTGTACTCGGCCTGAACATATTTTGATAATAAGCAGCTAATAATGAAGTGTGCATCAGAGCCATGTTCTTCTCGGATACCAATGAGACCACCTTTTGGAGAAGATATATCTAAACCAATCGCAGACAAAACTTCTGCAGCCATTTTATACCTTGAAATGAATTATTATCAATTATAAATGATTGTTAATAGTTAAATTGATAATAATTTTAAGAGTAAGAGTAAAGTAAATATTTTGTATATGTAATAAAAAGAAAACAATGTTATTACAGATTTTCAATGGTTGTTTTCATTAATTGCTCATAAATATGCCTCATAAAGAGAATCTAATTAGAGTTTATCCCAAATATTTTTGGGAATATTAAATAAAATCAATATTTATTTCCACGTCCAGTCCGATTTGCAATTAACTTGTTTGAGAATGACGAAACATGTAATATAGATAATGTAGAGGTCATTTTGTACGCCTTTCTATCATATCCATTGAACCAATCCAATGGGATTCTCACGTTCAATATGAATGTCATAGACCATACACGTCACACTGGCATAATTAATACATAACAAAGTCACAATGGCAACTGATATCATAATAAAACGTTGAATAATCGCAGTAAGTCTCCTTTAATAAGTCAATGGATTAACGAAAATTATTATATATTGATGTATCCATTACAGAAAAGCAAGGTTAAGATGTGTTTGCACAACATGTTAGAACAATTTTAAACATAATTTGTGCAAACAATACAATAGATTTAAACTGAAATAAATTGTTTATTCAATTCACGACATTTCCATAATTGATATAACTCACCTTATTAGATAACACAGAAATTTAAATTCGCAAATGACTAGGGCTATTCAGTTCGCTCTCGCAGTAACTACGAGCACGTTTTTAAATAGTTAATACACCGACCGCAAGGTGTTAATTTTATTTGAACATTAATTTTAAATATAATAAGATTTGGACATAGAAATTATTAAAAAAAATATTAAGAATAAAGAACAAAGCAATAAAAAAAATAAACTTTTTTTTATTATTGAATATTTTCAGTCTATTATTGAAAAAAATATTTTTATTTTTTTTTATATTTACACAAATATCTATTATTATTTTTATTATGTAAAAAATATTGATTCAAGTGTTGTGATATAATAGGTGGCAATGTCAGGGTTACAAAGTAAAAAGAAATCTTATTGGTACTTCGGAGGATTAGCATCTGCTGGAGCAGCATGCGTAACACATCCTTTAGATCTTATTAAAGTTCAACTTCAAACTCAGCAAAAGGGAAAAATATCAATAGGTCAACTCGTAGTAAACATATTTAAAAATCAAGGTATTGCATAATGATAAAATTACATGATTGATGTTCTAAAAATAATGTTCACATATGAAAATTTTGTGTTTATATATATATATATATATATATATATATATAAATGTGTGTGTATGTATGTATGATTTTAATTGATACATTTTCTGAACAAAGCTTACTTTTTCCCTCGATGAGTTATTTATTTAAATTTTAAATATTTCATTCTGTTTCGGAGATTATAGGTTGTTGTATCATTTTCTATAATTATTGATAACAAAAATAAAAATTATATATTTATACACTTTTTTAATCATTTCAAAATTGCAAAAATCAATAGTATTATTAAATACTCTTCATTATTATAGCTTGACTTATTTTTGAATATCATTTTTGGAAAATGTGCGCTCAGATAATTGTTGATTGTTTTTAAAAAATATTGGGTTACAAAGGAAAAGAGTGAATTCTTTCGGTTTTGAAATAATTAGAAAAGTGTTGAAATATATAATATATATTTTTTATTTTGTTTGTTCCTGAAGCATAGTCTCGAAAACCTAGTATAATATAATTAAAATAAAGTTAATTTTTCAAACAAAAAAAGCTTTTGTTCAGAATATATATATATATATATATATATATATATATATATGAAAACTTAATACTTCAACTCACAATCTGTTATAATGATGTCCAGCGATTAATTAAAATTTGAAATTTGCTTCATATTAAATTCAAATCTGTTTTATAGCATGCAATAGAAAATAACCAATAATTTCTCCAGGAATCACAGCGTTTTATGCCGGTCTGTCAGCTTCGTTATGTCGTCAACTAACTTATTCAACAACTCGATTTGGAGTATATGAAGTTGCCAAACAAGCAATAGAGAAATCCAATGGCCCAGCACCTGGATTTGTGACTTTGATAGCCTTAGCCAGTGCTTCAGGTGCAGCAGGGGGGTTTGTTGGCACACCTGCTGATATGGTGAACGTGAGAATGCAAAATGATGGAAAATTGGCCCCTGAATTGCGAAGAAAGTAATAACGATAGTGTGAAGACATTATGTTGTTTTCCTAGCAACAACACTTTTCTTAACAAAATTAAAGCTTTTGCAAATTATGAAGACTGACACAGATCTTATTATGATTTTAGCTATCGAAATGTGTTCCATGGGCTCTATAGGGTATTTGTAGAAGAAGGTGTACGAGGTCTCTTTTCAGGAGCATCCACTGCTACTGCAAGAGCGATTCTGATGACTGTGGGCCAAATTGCATTTTATGATGCCGTCAAAGGTCAATTACTTAAGTACAACTTTAAAGATAATACATCCACTCATTTTCTTGCCAGTTTGACCGCAGTAAGTACGAGAATGTAACTAATCTATATAGAAATGATCTTAGCATTTTTATTATCAACTCTATAGGGCGCCATCGCCACAACTATGACTCAGCCATTAGATGTAATAAAACAAGGTCTATGAATGCAAAGCCTGGTGAGTTTAAAAATGTATTGGAGATTATTTATTATACAGCTAAACTAGGACCAATGGGCTTTTTCAAAGGATACATTCCAGCATTTGTGAGGCTGGGACCTCACACTATTTTAACGTTTATATTTTTAGAGCAGTTGCGAATGAATTTTGGATTTGTACCAAAATCATGAGATATATAATAATAATGCTTTAAAATGATATTAAAATAATCATGTCAGGTAAAAACAATGCCTAAATTTATCAAAATGGGAACAAGGTAAATAGGATATAATAATATGAATATAAAATGCATTAACATACATTCCATAAACTATATTTAGAAAAATATATAATAAATGAGTTTGTTTTAAATAAAATAAACTGTTTATATTAATAAGAGCAACAAGTGTGATAAAAATGATCGTAATGCTCAGTACTAATTACTCTCATTAATCACAGTTCACAATATTCATAAAATAAACTCATTTCCTTCTCTATATTTTTTTATAATATTGAATAGATTTTATAAATATAAATTATTAAATAGACAAATGTACAAATGACAAAGTGCAAAATGAAACAAATCATTCCACAGAGAGAATACTCGCCACAATTTTAATATATAAATTTTAATATATGTACTTATGTTAGATGTTTTACTATTTATAGAGACAAACAAATCCTCGATATTAATATAATGTTAAGACATCATATTATGTATATAAAAATTATATATAACTTGTTACAAAAAATAAATGCGTTAAAAGAATGAAAGGGTTTGTAAATATTGATAATTAATTTGAACAGACTTCCAGGTTCGTCCAAGTTTAAAATAAGTTATATTTGGTTTAACATAATCACAAATAAAAATATTATCAAATCAGATATTAAAATTAGAACTGAGTTCTGATTAAACTGAAATTAAACTAAAATATTTGAAATAAATTAACTCTCACCTTCAATAATTTGCTACCTAATTAAGAAACCACCTTAAGAACTTTAACCTGTCCTGATAAAGATATTTTTATATTCGCGGGAGCTTGAATCCAAGGCTCGCCGTCTATTTGAACAGGAGTCGGTTTAAGTAGCCTCACCTAAAAAACAATAATAAAAGATTGAGCTACATGTTTTAGAAGTCCTCTTTATTTAAATAATACCTCAATAACACGTGCTTGGCCTATCCTTAATGGCTGAGATAGTCCAACTTGTAATTGAGCGATATGGAATGATGAAGTTATTCCCAAAACTTCGATAATACCATCACTTGGGCTTTGCACTGTACCATCAGCATCGCCCATATCTTAATAAGAATTTATATTGAAATTTATGCATTTTAAAAATTATATAAGAAAGAGTAAAAAAAAATTAATTTTGTGGTTAGGAATATTATCACATGCTATTATGTGGCTTCTCTAATTAAAAAGTAAACAAAGTCAACTTGGACAGTAACAAATATCTATGGAATATAGATTAGATCCATAAAATATTTTAATCTTTTTAATACACATGGAAGTTTATAACATCTATAGATAAATATTTATTATGTTAGTACAAGGGATATTAATATAAAGGTTAATTAAAAAGATAAAGCATTACAATTAATTTCTATAAGATTTATTAATATAATTACCCCATAATTTTACCCCAGCGCCCCAGCATTTGATATTCAATAGCACAATACTTTCTACTGGGGGTAAATTTATAACTCGACCATCCAAAATTAATTCTAATTTTTGCTCCAATCCTTTATTTGTGGGTGCAACAACTTGTTGAGTTCCATAACACAAATAAAGAAACTGTAATAATTAAAAATAAGTATTGTTTAACTATATACAAGTATAAAATTATGTATGCATATACCTTGTTAATTAATCTACTACTCATCAAATAGAATTTACTTTCACGTGCTTTATGAAATCCTAATGTCACTTCTGCATCAACACCAATACTTAAATAATTATATAAAACTTTGGTCTGAGTATAGAGGGTTGATGTAAGCCTGGTGCATTTTGCTATTTCTACATCCCACCTAAAAATGAAAAGAATTTTGAAATATTTAAAGTTGAAGCTTTAATATTATTGAATTACCTGTCCAGATTAATTGTATCGGCGGATTGTATCTTTTGCAATATTATTTCTGGTTGAATAATATCTGGAGGTTCTGCACCCCAACCCAAAGATCGAGACAAATCATTTCCAGTACCAAGTGGAAATATTGATACTAAAGGTTCTGGTTTGAGTTTCATTTCTCGAATAGTATTCAGAACCCAAGCAACCGTTCCATCACCACCTTTCATAAATAAAAATCATGATAGTTTTTTGTGGGAACCACAATTTCATAATTATATTAAAGAAACTCTACCTGCTATAAGGATTCGGCACACATTTGGAGCAACTAATTTGACCCAATGCAAGGCTTGAGCTGGTGTTCGATTTTTTCCTATAATCATAACTTGAATAGGATTCAGAATAAATCTAAATAATGATAAAATTTCTTCAGCATCACTACTTCCTGATTTTTTGTTAGCTTTTCATTTTAAAAAATTAAAATCAGTTACTGTAAGTTTACTTTTAATTAAATGAATGCTTTCATTGTCAAAGTTACCAATTATTATCAATGGACTCCAACCAGGCCACTCAGGTGGATTCACAGAAATAATTGTTTGTTTCCTTCTCATGCGAGTTCTGATTTTTGTAGGTTTAATACTGGTTGGTGGTACTATCATCAAGCGATAAGGACCGAGATCACATGTCTATTAAAAACGTAATTTTTATCCAATTTAATTAAATCCTTAAGAAATATCCAATTTCTTAAGAAATATGTGCATTTATTAATAATAGACTTACTTCAGGAATTCTTGATAAACATGTGCCATGAATATTCCTATGACACCAGCAACAATGAAAATCTCCTTTCCAAGGATCTGTAAATTCATTATTACAGATTGCACACTCTTCTGTCCATCGACCGATGCAATTGTGCCTAATGTTAGAAATATAAAGTATAATTTCAAGTCCTGTTTTTGAAGATGAAGGAATGAAATGAATATAATTACCTTTAATCCAATGATGTTTCAAAGTTTTAGTCTGTGTTATTGCTTTACATTTAATATCGTTATCTGCTTTTTAATGCAAGGTTTATCAGCACAGACTCCACAACAATCACAATAAAAACTTGAAGTAGTTACAAGCAAGGAATCACAAACAGCGCAAAAACGAGCCTGAAATATAAACTCAATATTAATAATAATCCAAATTTAGTTACAAAATAAATTGTTCTGCATTAAAAGGATATTACATGTGTTTTATATGTCGCGGGAACCCACTGTTGCCAGTTATGATTTTATCAAAAATCCTATTGGAACAGGTCCTTCATCTAGGAAAAGTTTTATAAAATTCACTACAATAAAAATATTAATAATCCCACTATTAACGGCCAATTAATACAGCAACTAGAACCATAAGAAAATCCATCTTAACAATTATTGATTATTTAAGGCATTATAATAGAATTAATCAAGGTTGCAAATTATTGATTTGGTAATAAAGCTTTTAAAAAAGACATGTTTTAGTGACATTCATATAACACGTCAATCGCTTTTTGCGTACATCATTCTGAAGAATTGTTTATAAACAAACGACGTCATCTTGAAACTGTCACAAAATGTCAAAGCGAAAGTTGGTGGTACATTTTTTCCATAGATAAAAGAAGAGTAATAGATCGCTCTCTCGGGCCATATTCGTTGCCACATTCCTGTGTTTAGTTGAAGCCCCGCGCTACAGATGGCACTAGTCGCCTGAACGGGTGCGTATAAAAATACTATAGAATGAACCAAAATTATATGGACCGTTTAATTCAAATTTAAAAAAAGAAAAATTGAAAAAAAAAAAAATTTTGAAGCATTTATTTTTCACAAAAACATTCTACATTATATCTACATAGTTCTCTTTATAAACAAAGCACACATAGCATAAAAAGGTACATAAATATACACATTATCCACAATGTATATATATATTATATATATATATATATATATCATATTATATAACATTATTATTTATAATAAATAGATGGTAGTAAGCTGTAAAAACTGTGCGAAAAGCATAAAAATTACTTAAATGTACACGCTATCCACAATGTATATATATATATATACAAATATTATATATATTATATATATATTACATATATATATATATATTACATATATATATATATGTGTGTGTTGTAATATCATTTTAGCATATCAGCCTTTCAAGCTGAGCACAAAAAGAATAGAAATGTACATGAATGTATATATTATTTATATATATACATATACATATATAACCACAATTCTTTGATTGATATTGATTCAGATCAATATATAACCAATATATATATATATATATATATATTACATATATATTTATTTTGATTAACATTAAGTTACATAATATCTATGATGTACAGTCTCTATTTGGGAATCTTTTCTGCGCTATTGTTAATGTGCATTCAAAGTTGTTCAAAATGTCATTATTATCATTGTCTTAAAGAAAAACAACAATCATTGATTTATTATAACAGTACTTAATAGTTTCTTATAGCATCTACAATAAGACATTTTAGAGTAAAGCTATTGACATCTCTTTCAGAATGTCAAATGCAATAAGCAAGTGCACATTAAGGGTGTTTTATCCCTTTGCTTTTTAGAA